AGCTCCTGGCACAGTGCAATGGTGGTCAGGAAGTCCAGTGGATAGAAGCCAGCCTGGAACCAGATGGCAAGGCCTCAAGCCCCTGATCCGCAGCTCGCTCACTCTGTGACCTCTGGCAAGCTGCTAAGCCTACGTGTGCCTCAGCCTCCACCTGTCCTGTGGGGATAGTGACCCTCACCACACAGGCAGGCGTGAGCCGTGAGGTGCGGGCACAGGCCCAGCCCTCAGAGCCTCCTGGTGTGGCTGCTCAGAGACAGCATTAGCTACTCTTGTGATGACATCATTTATTTTCCCCCTGGCACACAGGCCAGCCTGGGAAAATCAAGGATAGCTTCCAGAAGGGGATAAATCCCTGAGAACTCAGGAAGAGAGGACAGGGAAGGGCTTCCCTGGCAGAAGGTCCAGAGTGTGGAAGTTGGAGTCTGAGTGAGTCTGTCAGCAGGGCTGGACGATTAGAAACTGGACAGGGGTTAGAAGAGTGCTATGTGTGTGTGTGTGTGGTGTTTTATTGTGTGTATTGTGAATATGTGCATTATGTGTGTGTTATGTGTATTATTGTGTGTATATTGTGTGTATTATGTGTATTAGATGTGTATTGTTATGTGTATTCGGTGTGTATCACGTACATTATTGTGTGCATTATGTGTGAATTAAGTGTATCCCTGTGTGTTGTGTGGATTATTATGTGCACTGTGTGTATGATGCAAATGAACAGTTCTAGGAAGAATTCAAGAGTGAAGAGGCTGGCGAGCGTGTGGAGGGCAGGGAGGAGGGAGAATTAGTCAGCAGGCCCTGAACCGGCCCCACCCCACCCTGCCCCGGGAGCCCATCGTGAAAATGGTTTTGAAGATTTTCCAGGTGAACAAATAAGGTCCTAAATGATATCAGGTGTTGGCTAGCTGACAAAACCCGCCCGCCCGCCGCCTACCGCCACCAAGGAATTTGCTCAGGGCTAGCAAAGCCTCTGGTGTGGGCCGGGAAGCCAGGCAATGAGTTTGAAGGGCAGTCTGGTGTCCCCGGTGCGTGACTACCACTTCTACCTGGCCTGCCTGGCAGAGCCTGCCCATGCCCGGTGGGATTCTGGAACCTCAGCTTGTTGGCCCATTACCGGGTCCCAGGCCTGGCAGCACCCTTGGCTTCCCGCTCTGATCTTTGGTCCCCTGGGCCTGGGAAGACCTAGCCTAAGGACGACCCTCCCTGTCCAGTGTGTTGGAGGGCCCCCTCATCCTGGGCCTGGGCCCCAGAAACCCCTGAAAGAGGATAAGAAGCTCCGGACGCTCTGCCCCGGCAGGAAGCTGCCCGGGTCTGGCCTTGGTCCTGGCACCCGGCCCATGTCTCCCACCAGTTGGGGATATGGCCAGCTAAGTGCCGGATAAGTGGGCAGTGGCTGACAACCTCCTGGCATGTCCCTGGAGCCTGTGTGGGTGACACTCCAACTCAGCTCCCATGCCAGTTGGACAGGAGGAAAGAACCCTCTGGACCTCTCCGGATACAAGGCATGGAAGGGGTGCAGCTGTCCAGGGCACTGCCCAGTCCCTGCCGGGAATCCATGCCCCACCATGGCAAATCCATACCTCTGGCTTCTCCACGCCCTCTCATCATTCCTCATGGAGAATGCCATGTTCAGGCAGCGCAGCTTTCCAGTTTGTGGAGAGCGTTCGTCCCTTTCCATCAGCCCCTGCGTCGCTGGCATAGGACCAAGGAACTTCACAGAAGGGAAGGCTGAGCCTGGATCCTGGGCTGCAGCTCGGAGTCTGTGCAGATGGCACATGGACAAACCGTGGGGGTCCAGTGCCTTCAGCCGTGGGTGGACGTTACAGACGTGTGCAAGAGCAGGTGTGCTCAGGCACAGGGTCCTCGGGGTGCTGATTTAGGGAGCAGGTTCCCTCCTTCCTTCCGAAGGCAGGCCTGCTCCTTTGAAGATCTTTCAGACCTACTGAGAGCCAAAAGTATGAGGTCAACTGACTGTGTCGCTTGGCTTTTGCGGAAGGACGTCAGGGTGCTCAGATCAGCTCAGGCCACCCAGCCCGTCAGGGCTCACAGATGACTGCTTAGTGTGGGGACCGGCCCTAGGACTCTGATGAGGCCCTGATAGATTGCATCCTGCGAATCTTTTCCAAAGTGCAGCTTTGTCTCTGCCTCCTATAACCTGGCCTGCTGCTAACAGCTCCGCCTCAATACGGAAGCCCCAGGGCTTCACAGGCCCGGCGTCAGGCACAGCTTCCCTTACTGCTTTTATAATCACCGGCCAGACATTCTTAGGACTTTCTGTTGTTAACCAGGAGTCCAGTACTTGCATTTTGCTCTGAGCTCTGGGAGCCGTGAGGCTGCTCTTCAGAAGAGGAGGATCCAGAGGTGTGGGATGGTCACGAAGCTGCCAGAGCACAGCGTGGGCGGTCACCCTTGGGTCTAACCCTGAAGCCAGAGGCCAACGCACCATCAAGTGGCACTGTGCCAACCGCCTGTGCCTCCCTGGCCCCCTTTGTGGGCGAGGAGTTCCACCAGGTGCTTGGCCGTCACAATGCCCAGCCAATGAGAGGCTCAGCCTGGCTTGCCTCGGCTCTCTGGAGGACTGTTCCGGCCTCCCCGGAACCTACTCTGAAACCCTAATGAAAATAAACTCCCCCACCTGACATTGCGTGGAGGCAGACTCCCACCCTAGCGAGCCCCTTACCTAAGAGTGCAGGATGCTGGACCAACCGGGGAGGGGTTGAGGCCTGGTCCCGTGTTACCACACACAGGATCAAGGTGGGGAGCGCCAGGCCTACCGGTCCTCCTGCAGCCCGACCTTCTCCAACACCCTCTGCTGCGTGTACCGCGAGCTCGGGTCCAGGGCAGGCATGCTGTGTGGGTTAGCTGAGTATGCCACTCAGGATGGATTCTGGCAACACAGCAAAGGCAGACAGCAGGCTCCTGGGAGGCACCCCAGACAGAAGCTCTCCAGGTCCTCCGATTTGAGAGGTCCGGAGAAGACTGACCTGGGAAACATCTAGAAGGAGCCCCAGGAGTATTCTTGAATTGAGGAGCATGCTAAGACCCGAAGAGCACACGAGAGCCTTAGTCCTGCCCAACGCAGAGTCCAGGAGGCTGACAGTACAACCCCACGGCAGAGATGAAGCGGAGAGGAGGCAAGCGCGACAGGGCCCAGAGCTAGGGTCAGATCCCCAGCCGGGTGCAGCAACTCAAAGGCCAGTGGTGCTCAGAGCCGGCGGCACACTTCACGATACGCTGTCAGAGTCCAGGGTCTGGATCGGTGGGATCAGAGTTCCCCAGGGGATGGCCACCTGCAGGAACACTGGGTCTCTCTGCTGTCTCTGCCCGCTTCTCTCCCCAGAGGTGTTCCCTGCGCAGCGGGCTGGGCAGCTCAGGGCGCTGGCCGCAGACCCCGCCGCCAGCCAGCTCTCACTTGTAGCCCAGGCTCTGGCTGTGTCCTACCTGGCGTGTCTGTGGTGGTCCAGGCGCCAGTTTGTTTTCACCCCCTCTTAATTCCACCCCCTTGTCTCTGCCTATCCAGTTCCCGTCACTCCACATCATAACGATTCGTTTTATTTTTGTTTGAGAAGGGATTTAAAAAAATACACAAGCCAAAACCCATTTCTTTCTTTCCTTCCTGTTTTACCCAGGGGTGGCACGCAGCAGGCTGCCCAGTGTCGTCTTTTCCATTTACACCTTAGAGAGGGCTCCACATCTGTCCGTTCTGTTTCTTACAGCTGCAGTCCCTAATCACAGTTTTTAAAAACCTCCTCTAAAAGCCAAGTTCAAGGTGCATGTTGCCCTTGATCTGTCCCCTCCCTCCCCGTGATCAGTCCCTGTGGACATGGGGGCCCTACGCCGGAAGGCTCCTGGCTATCCGAACTGCACCCTGGCACGATGGGGTAAGAAGCCTGGCTGGTAACCCTCACTAGAGAAGGGAAGGCCAAATCCGATCACGGCGGGAGCCCTTGCCAGAGGCCCTGCTGTGTGGGCACTTTAGATAAACGGAGAACCGTCTTTCCACAGGGTGAGTCACCAGCCTCCCTGGGCTCCACAGCCGGACTGGAAGGCAGCGGCTCTCTTCCTTTCCACAGCTGCGGGTTTATTTGCCTCCTCCTAAGAGGTGAGGTCAGGGTTTGGAGCAGGAGGCGGTGTGTGGGAGGGAGCCAGGCCTGGGGGCGGGCCGGTGGTGGGAGGGGCACAGCAGACACACCTGAGCATGTGGACATCACCTGGCCTTGTCCACGCCTTCCCGGATCCTGGGGCGGCTGCTGCCCCGAGGAGAGAGCTGTGCCCTCACAGTCCGGTGAGCTGGCCTCGGCCCCTTGCTGCTTGCTGGTGAGTCGTTTAGGCTGGAGTTCCTGGGGGTGTAAAACAGGGAGAACACTCTCCACAGGCTTGCCCTGAACGGTCAAGGCAACAAGGGGCAGAATGGTTTCATGAATGGCAGCACTGATGGATATTCTTAGCAACTGCTCTGCATCCAGTGACCATCATGAGATTGTTTCCCTTCCAGTGCTAGACTGGAACTTCTCCGAGCCTCAGTTTCCCCTCCTAGGGAGTGGGATGTTGCTGGCCTCGGGCTGGGGCGGGGTCACCACTGACATAATTGTCATTCTTCCTGCAGACTGGCAGCTCCTGCCCCCGCCCAGGGGCACAGCGCCCCATCTGCTTCCCGCCCATCCCTAGTCTGCACGCACCTTCAGGACAGACAGATCGTGGCAGAAGCCACCACCGCTTGTTTGTTCCTGTCTTCTGTGAAGCAGGCCCCCCACAAGGAGTCTGAGCCGAATCATAGACCGTGAGCACCCCAGCAGATCCGGTCCAGAGGACTCTCCCTGAGGCCAACCCTGCAGCCTCCCTCCCTCCCAGCCTCCAAGGCTCAACCTCCAGTGCTGGGCCCCATCCCAGTGATGCCCTCAGGAGTCCCAACCCCAGCTGGATGAGGCCCTACCAGGACTGGGAACCAACCTTGCAACCCTACCAGCCTTCCTCGCCGCCCTCATCAGCTTCCTCACCCGACTGCTGGGCCGGCCTTACGATGTCCGTGCCCCAGATTGAAATAGAAGACGTGGGCGAGGAGGAGGGGTCGGCCGCAGCCCCCCCGGACGACCACCTCCGGAGCCTGAAGGCCCTCACAGAGAAGCTGAGGCTGGAGACCCGCAGGCCCTCCTACCTGGAGTGGCAGGCCAAGCTGGAAGAGCAGACGTGGCCCTTCCCGAGGCCGGCAACCGAGCAGGAGGAGACCAGCCTGGAAGAGGGGGAATGTGAGCCTGGGGAGCCCTTGCTGCCCCCGAGGGAGCCCAGAGAGCACCGCCAGCCTACCAGCATCGGTGGGGGCGATGGGGCGTCAGGGTCCATTGGCAAGCTGGAAGATTTCCAAAGCATCGATGAGGCGTTAGCCTGGCTCAGGAAGGAACTGGTGAGTGTCTCCCTGCCCCCACCCCACCCCAGAACCCTCCAGAAAAGAGAGGAGAGGATGCCGAGTTCTCTCTGCCTTCCTCTGTGGGTCTCCTCTCCCCCATGGATGTGTTCATCCTCTTTAACCACGCCCCCCGACTTACATGTCCGATTGGACAGAGGACATCTCATTTCTCTGTGGTTACATGGGACCTGGGTTGCTCAGCCCCGAATCCCAGACATCCCCCCACCTTGCCCACGCGCCAGCAGTGGCGTTTGCCCGCTCACTGAGGCCTCCTCCCCTGCCTTCTGCCCCGGCTGCTGCTGTGCCTGGGACTGCTGACTTGGGACTGCACTCCTCAAGCTGGGTCTCGGGGGGCCAACTGCAGGAGGGACTCAGTGTAGAGGTTGTAACTGTGCGAGGGACTGCGGTGAGGGTGGAGGCCTAGCCTGGAAAGTTCTGAACTACTCGTTCCAGGCTTCCTGGGGATGCATGACTGCTCACGCCTGAGCCGCAGGCTTTGCCCAGGAGGCTGAGCCTGCCCAGAAATCAAAGCAGGGTGGGGCCTTCCGGGTGCCATGAGTGTGGGCAAAGGTGGAATGAGGCATGTGCAGCACGGAGCTGGACCCCAGCGGCTCTGCCCTTTTCCTGCCCACTGGCACAGCAGATGCCTTCCCATGCAAGCCTCTCTTACATGAATCTCAGCCTAGGGAAAGAGGGGAGGGGCACGGCGCGGGTGCCTTGTCCTGCTCCCTTCCCAGGGGAAAACCATTGGTCCTCCAGCTTGGTGGCTTCTCAGCTGGGCCAAGCTTGTGGCTAAACCTTTGCAATCTCCTACCATCTGAGGCCCACATAACCCCACTGGTCAGGCTGTCCGGCTGTACAAGCAGCAAAGAGCCAGCTGCCTTTCAGAGCTGGTCATAATCTCAGGACAAGGAAGGCAAAGTACTACTGGTGTGTCTGGCAAAATTCTGGAAAACAAATCCCTATGGGAGGCTGCGCTGAAATGCAGTGTGTTGTGGGTAGGAAGGAATGATGCTGTAGCATGCAGGTATCTGATTAGCTGGAAACGCTTCTCAGCACACACATCCCATACTGCATGTGGTTAGTGATAGAGTGCATGTCCAGGCTGTTGGTGTTTGTTGAAGGCCATCGCCTGTGGATTCTTACTCGTGGAGTTGTGTGAGAGATAGATGGACAGCCAGTGCCCAGGACAGATTAAAGGCTGCTCTTCAAATTCCTGAGGCAAACCCGCTTTGATGTGTTTTCATAAGAAGGAACAGAAAATACCCTTTAACCAAGGATACAATTTGTGGGTCTCAGGTTCATTTGAGATTTTGTTGCTTCTGGGAACAGCTATTTACTTTCCAAATAAGTTCGCATTCCTCATAGACCCCCTTTCGGAGCAGGAAATAGGGAAGAAATCATCCTGCAGGCATTAATCGGCGAGGGCTCCCTGGGGTGCTCCCTCGAGTGCTCCCTCGAGTAACCACACTGCCTGTGCCCTACAGGCCAGCTCCTCGCTGGTGCGGGAATGTGGTAGGCCAAGTAGCCCAAGGTACCCCGAGGGCCAGAAGGTGGGCGAGGTGCAGGAGCAGCTTCAGGGCATGTGGAGCGTGGGATCCACAGGGGACAGAGGACATTTGTTGTCAGGGCTGAAGTGGGCAACAGGAATGCTGGCATGGGTCACGGGGCCCCACTCGGAGTAGCGTGCTCCATTCTGCTGCTCCCAAGGGTGGGGAACTCCGGGACACCCAGCAAGCGCTCACCGCGTGCAGGTTCTTCGCTAGCGTTCCTCGCCGCTTCTGGCTGTCCCATGGCAGGGCCATTCTGGGCACCCCACTCTCAGGAAGGGGACACAGACTGGGCGGGGAATGCGATAGGCAGAGACAGTCTTAGCTGCCCCAGCTCTCTCCCTCCAAGGCAGTCCATTTCCTAGATCTGTGAATTCACAGAAACACCAAGGCGCGGCAGTTCACAAAGTACACGGGGTGCAGGCAGAGAGAATGGGGTCGACTGAGATCCCAGCCCTCCTTTCTCTTTGATTCCTACAGCAATCCTATGGGCTTCTTGTGAATGTCTGGGCTTTACAGTTGAGTAAACGGAGGCTCCTAGAGGTCGCGTGGCCTTGTAGGGTGATAGGACTGGAGAGTGGCAGAACCAAGACTCAGATGCGGCCTCTGCCTTTGGGGAGCTGAGACCCGGTGGCAGGGGCCCATCTGCGGGTGCTGAGAGGGCGTGACCTATGAACTCCACCCTACAGACACTCCCACCCCCAAGTCCCTTGTTATAAGGAAGATTCTAGATCCATGGGTCCGGGAATGAGGCCTGATGAGGAACTTCCACCAGGCTCTCAGGGGATACTCTGCGTCATAAATACCACAGTTGGGGTGTCAGAGAATCAAAGCAGCACAGATGGGCCGAGCAAGCAGGGACCACAGAGGGCAGACCCAGAGGTCCCCAGACAAGCTCCAGGCCTGTCCCTGCCATCACTGTCCCACATTGCCTGGGGCTGAGGCGGCCACTCGGCCTGGGCGGAGGAACTCGGGAGATTCCAAAGCCCATGGGCCAGGGACCACAGGCCCCCCAAGTGGTCTCCCCAAAGCAGGCTGGCAGGCAGGCCAGGGACAGTGGCACACAGATCTACCTGGGACAGAAATGAAGCACCAACTCACCGAGGTAGAAACAACTACATTTGAACATGTTCTCCTGTTCTTACACCCCAGTCCAAACAAGGAAATAGACCAAAATGATAATTCAGGGAGTGGTGAGGGGGTTTCCCTAGGCAAAGCCCAACACCCCGCTCAACGGAAGCCCAGATTCCCAGTAAAGGTTAGGCTCTGACCCCCGACTGCCTGGCGGCTGGCAGGAGCAGCTAGTCTAGGCAGAGATGGTTGTTGGCATTCCCCTGCTAGGGGAGGCTGTGCCAGGTCTGGAAGATCATCAGTCATCTTCTGCCTCCCCCAGCAGAGCACTGCCTGACCTCTACAGGTTTACAAAGCAGGGAAAGGGGCCGATGCCCCCCCCCACCTCTTCCCCCTGGCTGTCACCATTAGGCAAAGGGAAGTCACTCCTGACACCCGGGGCACAGGGAATAGCGAATGCTCCGCCATGTACGTCTCTGGGAGGGGCCAGACTCTGGCTCTGAGTGGATTTAGAGCTGGGCCCCGATGGCTGCGGCAGCCTCTGACTCCTCCAGGCTAAGGTCAGACTCACTGCCCGCAGGGCACCCAGGCAGGGTCTGGTGAGGTGCCCATTGTGCCCGGCTGCTGGGCGCAGGATGTCCCGGATACCAGAAGGTCACAGCCTCCAGCTTCCTCCCCTCTGGGCCACCTCAGAACGTGGCCAAGTGGCCGGCGTGGTGCATGACACCTGGGAAGGAGGAGGCGGGCAGGGCCTGACGTGGCGTGTGGGTGCCTGCCACCGCTCTCCAGCTGAGCTTGAGACGCAGAACATCTTCCAACACTCCAGAGTCCCAGGCAGTGGGGTGCAGAAATCCCCCGTGCCAACCTGGTCTGTGAAGTACAGGGACAAGAATGGCTTCTGCTTGGCCTATGGGGGCCGAGCCAAAGACAAAACACCCCGGCCCCTTCATGACACCCACACCCCAGCTTCCCGGGCCCCTTCATGACACCCCAGCTTCCCGGGCCCCTTCCTGGTGAGAATCCCTGGGCGCCAGCCACAGATACATTTTTAGTTGCACACAGGTGTTTGATCCCTGCAGACAGAGCCTTCCAGAAGGTGTTTATACTTGTGAGAAAATGTGGAGAAGATGTCTGACAGGTGGTAATCAGGCAGGGGCTGAGTGCAGGGAAGCCTGGAGACGCAGGGTCTGCTGGCGCCCTGTGCTTGGTGCCAGCCAGCCGGAGACAGCTCCCGGCGAGCCTCTGACGGAGCCTCTCATGCCCAGGCTGCCTACTTGGCAAATGCACGGCTTTGGCAGGTCCAGGCACAGCTCTCTGAGGCCCCAACCCGCCAGCTAATCTGCTGAAGGGCCCGTCAGAGGATGGCCACAGCCGGGTCTGGCAGCTCTGGGGTCTCGCTCTCACACACAGCAGTGCCATGTTGGCTCTTCGCATTGGATGGGAGGACCAAGGCCAGGCAGGTTATAGGCTTGACAGCCAGGCTAAGGGGCCAGCCGGAGGCCGTGTGCAAGGATGAAGCTTCTCCAGGCCAGGGACCCACCTGCCTGGCCCGGGGTCCTCTCCTCCTGTGTTCTAGACGCATCGCCAGTCCAAGCCCGTGCGCAAACCTTCCTGGTTTCAGAATGGGCTGCAGTGTGGTTCCGTGCGATAGAACGCTTATTGAGCAAGTCCAAGCCTCAGCCGGGTTCAACCCCCAGCAGCCTGGGATTTCACTTCTGGTAATATGTGTTCTAATTGCCTATAGTTTCTGATTTTTTTTTTGCCAGTCCTGGGGCTTGAACTCAGGGCCTGGGCACTGTCCCTGAGCCTGACTGTATTCAAAGCTACCCCTCTACCACTTGAACCACAGCGTCACTTCTGGCTTTTTCTGTATGTGGTACTGAGGAGTCGAACTTAGGGCTTTGTGCCTGGTAGGCCAGCACTCTACCACTGAGCCACCTTCCCAGCCCAGTTTCTGAAATGTCTGCAATAAGAAGGTATAACTTATGATCAGGGAAAAAGGACAAAAAGGCAAAGAAAGGAAAGTGCCAGGTTCCTTTCTTTCCTGCCAGCATAATGAGAACACATCTCTCACTCTGTCGTCTACGGGTGAGAACAACGTAGGATCTCCTGGAATAAGATTTAGAAAACCAGGCCTTCCGTTCCCAGCGGTGACCCTGCCCCCAGTTCCCTGCAGGCTCACAAAGGGAGCAAGGAGAGGCCAGAGGACAGCAGCTCAACAGAACAGGGGCTGGAGGCGGCCCTGAGCCCCAGAGGTGGGTGCTGTGTGTAGCCCCCGAGGGAGAGGTGGAGGGGGCAGGCTCTCCCCTCTGAGGAGGGACCTGCAGCCAGGGAGCCCAGGGCACCTGCTGCAAGTGCGAGCCCTCCCTCTTGTCA